CTGAGCTTAGACAAGTGATGTTTTTCAAGGGGCTGATAATGTTTGGGAGAAGACTCATTTGCTCTTGGAACTTGTGGTGTAGCCCCACTGGGGCCTTTGGGGATGTGGGGGACAACCCTCGGTATACCATGATCTACCCCAAATGGGGCTCAGCTCCCTGCCAAACCCCTTTTCCTCCAGCTCCACTTTGAGCTTAGAGCTGGGAAATAGAATGTGGACCCCAGACACCCTCCCCAGCCTGAACAGGGGGTCTGGGCAGGATGGGATACAGCACACGGGGCTGGGAGAAAATAACAGGTGTTTCTGGCCACAGGAGGGACCCAGGAGCTCTCCCTCCTCTGCCTGGCCACACCACTGTCAGGGAGAGCAGCCACTTGCTGGCTCACACCTCTCGGATCCAACGGGCGAAGGCTCCGGGGAAAGCAAGGCACGGCCACCACCCCGGCAGGAGTTTAGAGCAAACAATGGACATATCTGGGGGGGCAGGAGCCCCCAAGGGCCCCAGCCCTGTGGCCTCAGCGTGTGACTGACTCACATAGCTTGGCCGTGGCTGCAAGCTGGACATCCCTCCCTGCTGCTCATCCCACAGCCCCACCAACCTCCTGCCTTAAAAACATGGGAAAATCCCAGCATAATTCTGAGCCTCCCAAGCCCCAGTCCTGGCCCCTTGCAGTATGCTCTTGTGCTGCCAAGAAGAGTTTGATTCCATCCCTTGTGCCTGGGTTTGGTTGGTGTTGTTCATGCCACCCAAAGAAACTGTCCTTTACTGATTTCTTGCCTTGTATTTATCTTTGATTTTTTTTGGTCTTTTTTAACAGGAAAAGCACTTGCTTATGTAAAAACAAGTTTACTTTTTCCAGTTATCCTTGGGGTAACAGAATCTATGGCAACCCTCACTAGAGATCTTGCCCTGCTGCCGCCTGTGAGCCACCATGGCAACAGCACTCGCTGCTAAATCACTCCTAGACTGCTAAAAATCTCATCTACACACTCACCGGGCTCCTGCTCCAGGAGCAGCCTGGAGCTCAGCACTCTCCTGCTCCACATCAGCACAAACATCACATGTGAAGCTCGTGCCAGCCCCTGCTGCGAAATAATTTCCTCTAGCTCAGCTCACTGTCATTTAAATATTGTGTTTCTTAGGCTGTATGCAGGAACTGGGGGCAGGACCACTCCCGGGTGCAGCCAGCTGGTGTTAGATCCCAGTGCTGCACCTGCACGGGCTACTCTCCTGCACACTGTGCTCTGCACTCAGCAGTGCTGGACTCCCGTGGTGTCTGAGGTTGGGTCTCTTTGGTGGTCTCCTGTCTCCCAGAGATTCAAACTTCTGGTTTTGCACATTTAATCCCTTTTTAACTCCACTACTTGTTCAGTGATACAACTGGCCTGTTTTTTTCCACATTTCTCACCTTTCATTCAGTCTGCAATTCAGAACACTTTGTCTCATTCCTGCAACATCCCCAGAGGTCTCAGGCAGTCCAGGCATGTGGCTTCAGTGAGACCAGGACTGTCTCATGGCCAGCACTGCCACCCCATGTGGGCTCTCTGCGGGCCATGGGTCACCTGCCAGTGGGAGCACAAGGTGTGTCTGGAAAGCAGCAGGGGCAGAACCAGCTGTGCCACATGCTGGGCTGCAGCACATTGCTTCCCTGCACCAGGCTGCAGCAGCCTTGCCACGGGTGTCACACTCCTGGAACACACCAGCACAGAGCACTGCTCCAGTGAGGGCTGCTGGCTCCCAGCACTGGCTGTCAGGAGGTGATTCTTGTCTGAGATGCACCAAACCTGTTGTTTTGTCTCCATTCTGGATGTTTCTTGTTGCATTTTGGCAGAGGTCAGTTCTCCAGGGCCCTTGGACAGCCTCATCCAGAGGCCACAGCACCACCAACCTCCCAGCACAGAGGTGCCCGGTCCTCCCTGCCGTGGGGAAGTTGCTGCTCACACCCAGACTGCCAGGCCCGCAGGGGTGCAGGTCCCGCCAAGAGAAACACCAGGAGCACACAGGGTAACAATGAAACTCAGTTATAGCTTTATTCAATAACTGGTACAAAGTCCCCCTCAGGCAGAGCGTCCCAGTCCCATTCCCTACCTGAAATGGAGCAGAACGTGAGCATGCCCCTGGGAGGAGCTGGCTCCCAGCAGGTCAGGGCTGCTCAGCAGTGAGGAAAGGATGTTTCGCTCATCCCTTTGAGACCTGCAGCAGCCTGACCACTCATCCCTTTTCTCCCATAAACACCAGACCCTGGCACACAGCAGGCATCTGCCCTTGGTGACCCGGCCAGGTGTGAAAAGGCAGCAGAATTGTGAATTCCATGAAGACAGTAACCAGCACCTGTGCAAAGGCCCTTCTGACCCGACCACAGGAATGTGTGGTTCTGGCTGTCACTTACATTCACTGGTGTTTCCTGCCCTCAGGCAGCAGCAGTGGGATGCAGAGCTGGCAGTGCAGGAGATTCTGGAATCTCCACCTGGCAAGGGGCACTGCTGCCCATTCCACAACCTGCTCAGTGTTAAAGATTCACCTGTGCCAGGGTAGAACAGTGACCAGGTATCACTGCATCCTGCCCTGCTGCTGGGTCAGCAGAGGGTGGCAGAGGCAGTCTGGGAGCCAGGGCAGCTGGAGTTTAATCCCTTGTACTGGGTTAACAGTGCACCTCGTTAGTGTTAGTTAACTGGTTAATTGCTTTGCTCTTTCAGGAGGCTCAGCTAAGAAATCACTCTGCTCCTTCTTAACACACACAGAGAGATGAGACCAAGACAGTATTCCATTTGTCTTTCCCACGGCTGCCTGGCATGTCAGAGTCCCGGGAACACACAGACCTTCGGTGGGTTCTGCGCTCCAGGCACAGCTCTGCACGGAGCATCGCCTGCTCCGGTGCCTGGAGAGCCACAGCCTCATGGTCTTGCTTTCCCACATCCCACCAACGCCATACCAACTGCACCACAAGGGTCCTTTAGCAGAAGCACAACTAGAAAGCAATTCTAAACCTCACAAAGCCACAGAAATTATATTTAAATGAAGAGGGGAGACAAGGCTGTCATCTGGATTGATACACAGCACAGACAGGAGATGGCATCAGCATGTACAGTAACGGGACTTACTAAGACCGCGGAATGTCAACGAGTTTTAAAGAGGCTCTGATGCCAAAGGGATACAGAAAGGACCAAAGTAATGCCAAGTACAGACTACCAAGGAGGTGGCAGCTCAGATGGGCATGCACAGGTTAGAGAGAACAGTTAATGCCATGTCGGATGAAATGCTAGGTTCTGAGTGGGTTCAGTGGGGCGAGCGGAGCTGTCTGAATCCAGAGGAGGAGCTCCTGCCTAACAGGACAATTCCACGGTTTGAGGCGCATCCTGGAGGTCAATTCCTTCTGGGGTCCCAGCACTGCCGTCCCCGTAGTTGCTGGCGTGAGATCGGCTGCGGCTGCTCTCGCCGGAGCCCACGCTGGAGGAGGAGTGTGTGCGGGAGCGCATCAGCCGCGTCATGCTGGCGGCAGGCACTGCAAGAGAACACAGCGGCTCAGCCGGGGCAGCTCCTGCCGCCGGGGCCACAGGCACGGGGGAGTGGCACTGGGTCAGCACAGAAAGAGCTGCACCCTCGGGAGGAAAACTCACTCTTCACTGCCAAAATTATGTCTTTGCATGTCTAAAGCAAAATGTTTAAGGCCCAATTTCAAAAGGTCCAAGGTGAGCAAATGCCAGCAGTGTAACTGGTCATTTGCAAGTGCAGTCACGGCCAGTGTCTGTGCAAACCGAGGCAGCTGTGGCACGGGTGACCTTTTGAAAGTCAGTCTCGTCGCTCTAGAAAACCACAGAGCTGAAGTCATGCAACGATCAACAACATACAAATGAAAGGTGGAAACCATAGCGCACACACGGTACAACGATCAGCCCACCCACAGCAGGACATGCCGAGACAGAGCAAAGCACCCGGAGAACAATCCCACTCAGCACACAGACCGGGCCGAGGCCGATGCACAGCTGGAGGTACCTGACTCAGTGCTTAGGTGGCTGAGCTGCACATAAGGGACTGGAAACAACATGAGACAAGGAAAGGGATGAATACAGGAAAAAGCCAATTAGTTGAGGTGTGTGACTAGTGGCTGCACTGCTCCTGGGACCCCCAGCTACCTTCCCTTCTGCTCCCAGCTCACTGTGCTGGAAGCTCCCAGGATTTGTGAGAACAGCTGCTAATCAGCATCTCAGGGAGATGCCAAGCTCACCCAAAACTCCATCAGGGCCAGACCTCTTCAATGCCTTTTGCTGAAAATCACAGTGTACCTGGTGACATTACCTCCTCACTGCACACTCCACACCTGCTCAAGAGAGATGTTGTTTCCCTGGGCTGTACTGTGCAATTCCAGCTACAGAATAGAAATTCATGTCTTTGAGATGACAGCATCAGGTTCCTGCTACAAGCCTCCTGCCAGGCAGTGTCAGCACAGGCAGGTCCAGCTGCTTTAGCCAACAGCAGGCACAGCTGCTGGAGAACTGGCTTCTGTGTTTCTAGCAGTGCCCACTGTGATTTGCTTCTCCCTTGTTCTCCTGGAGAAAGCCAGCCTTGCTAGCCGTGCTCCTCAGTGTCCCACAGTCCTGCCCACCAAAGCTGAGAAAACCATTCTGGGATTAGCTACTAATTCTGGAAGGAGAATATTACCCCCAGTCCTTCCTCAGTGCTGCGTGTCCTACTGACCAGAGAGCTGAACCCCAAAGTGCTGCTGAAGCCCTTGCGCTGACAACAGCACTTGCTAACTACACTAACACCAGGAGCACGAGAGACAGGAATGTTGAAAAGCTCTCAGGTGTGAGGCTGAGGGACCCTTCTCATGCAGCACCTTCCTCTGCAGGATCAGGCTCCTCTGGCATGACATGACTGTCCTACACCTTCATGTCAGCTGCAGAGCTCTGAGGCAAAGGACAGCTCTGAGTGCGCTGACAACAGCACTTGCTAACTACACTAACACCAGGAGCACGAGAGACAGGAATGTTGAAAAGCTCTCAGGTGTGAGGCTGAGGGACCCTTCTCATGCAGCACCTTCCTCTGCAGGATCAGGCTCCTCTGGCATGACATGACTGTCCTACACCTTCATGTCAGCTGCAGAGCTCTGAGGCAAAGGACAGCTCTGAGGCAAAGGACAGCTCTGAGGAAAAGGACAGCTCTGAGGAAAAGAACAGCTTCTGCTGAGCCCGACCAGGAGCTGGCAAAGCACTTCTGGCTGTGTGGAGACCATTGCAAGTGTCACAGCTGCCACAGTGGCCGCAATGAGTGGTTAGTCGGTCACACAAAACAATCCCTCCCCCAGCTCCAGGTGTTCGTCATCCGCAGAAGGAACTCCTGGCCCTGACAGGAGAGAGAGGGCTGTGTAGAGTACTGAGGAGCTCTTCTCCCGACATCCCTGGCCTCTGGAGCACCGAGGGCAGGAGCTGAGCAGCTAAGCCTGACACACTCAGGTGACAATGTCTTCCACCTCTAAGCACAGAGGAAGCCACAAGGCAGGGCATGCACAGCTCCCTCTGGGCCCCTGGGTGCCTCAGGAGTCACCCAGCTCCCTGTTCTGCCATTAGAAGGATTTATTCTGGGCCACTGCTTATCTCTGGCGAGAGACTGAGAGAAACAGGAACACCTGAGGAGAAAGGGAAGAGCACTCTCTACCTCTCCCAGCGGTGGGGCTGCACTGCTACCTCCTCCCCCTCCTGAGAAGGTGTGCACAGAAGATTTGCTGTTCTTGGGAGCACACTTATCTGGACTGGCACAAAGATGGACTTACAAGGTTTTACCAACACCAGCAACCAAAAAGGGGTCACCAACACATGTCAGGGAACAACACTGTTTTGATAAGGCTTGTCAGCACACTAGCTGATTTTCCAACGTGGATGGATTTCCTGGCAACCACACTAGCTCAGGGGTGGGGACACAGATGCTGGTGGGGGCTCAGATGGACCAGGAAGGCTGAGTTCCCTTCATGACAACCCTGCTCCAAACCACAAAGTTGTGTTTGCCACTTACTGTAGCCCATTCCCTGCACAAAGTACTTGAAGGCTTCAGTCAGCTTGCCAGGCTGTGGAAACAGAGAGGGGTCTTAGTGCAGCAGGACAAGGGGCTCTGTCCCACCCAAATGCCGTGGGAGAGCTGACGTGTCTCACCTGCACCACCTGGGGCAAGCCCCCGCAGTCAGCCATCTGCAACAGGAAACAAAAGGCAGGTTGAGCTGTCCTTCCCACCCCAGGACGACAACCCCAAGCCCACCCAGCACTGCCCACCCACTGGGGCTGAGAGCACCAGGCTGTGGCTTCTACCACCTCACCTGTCCAGCTGCAGCAGAGCCAGGTGAGACACCTTCTGGGGCTGTTGCTGAGGGAACCCTGCACTCAGAGGCTCAGCACTAACCCTCCACAGCCAGTGCTCCCCCAGCCACTCTGCCCTGCCCTGGCACTCTGCCCTTCCACACAGTAGCTGCCTGGCACACTGCAGGGACACAGATGAGGGTGGGAAGGACTGGTACAGAGCTTGGAACAGGGATGTTGTGGCTGCAGAGAGCAGAGGGGAGGGAGGGCACCTCTCCTAACTCTCAGGTCTTCTCTGCTGGGAGGGATTTGAGGACCCCTGACAAACTCTTCCCTCCCAGCTCTCGTGGAGGAGAGAGCACAGCCCCAAATGACTGTTCACAAACTTCCTAAAGTGAAGAGTATGGAAGACAAAAACCTAAGTGGAGCTGAGGTCAGGCAAAAAGTGTCTTTATGCAGGCTGGAATTATTCTGGAGTGGCACTCACCTTCAGAAGGGTAGTTTTGGTTGGGTCAAGACGTGAATTGCATTCCACCTAAAAAAAAGAGAAAGGGACATGGTATCCCACAAAACTTGAAGAGTCAGATGGAAAATCTGGGGCAGCTGCACCAGAGGCAGTAGCTGTCTTCAGCAATGGGAGTTTCTCTGGGGTCAGATAGGAATGAGCAAGAAAGCAGAGACAACGCAGGAAGAAAACAGTGAAGGCAAGATCCAGGGAGGAATGGTGAGTGTTCCATCCAAGGACCTTGGGATGACAGGTTGTGACTTGAAGTGAAATCATTGCCTGGTTTTGGGATGCACCATGAAACTCTGAAACACCTGCTGGGCTCTGACAGCAAGACTGGGAGGGAACGAGACTTCTGTGCAGTGCAGCATGAGGGAGAGCACTCAGTTCCCTGGCCAGACAAGGAAGCCACTGCCACCTCTCCTCTTGTAGGGCTGCTGCAAAGAGGGAACAGGTGGGGGCCTTATAGGTAAAGCAACCTCAGCAGGGGAGGCTATCACGGGCTGGGAACATTTGCAGCCAGACAGGCATGCCAAGATGCACAAGACCCTACCCCATACCTGTGCTGTGGCTGGGAAGCAACGGGAAAGCTCAGGGTTATATCCTAGCAAAGGCAGAACTTGCAGAATGTTTCAGACTTCCAGATCGAAGAGACTGATGAAAAGGCATAAGGCCATGGCCAGAAATTGCCCTCCATGCATGGCTCCTACGTTCAAGCTACTGTTTTAGGAGACTCCTACACTATTCCTGGTTTTAGACAACTGCATTTGTTGACAGCCCCCTGGTCTCCCCACGGTCACTGGCTGATGGGGAGGAGCAATGTCCACCACAACCACACTGCACTGTGCCCTGCCCCATCTGTAGCTGTGCTGGGAGGGAAGTGGGTTGTGGGTGTCTGCAGAGGACAACAGGAAGGAGCTGCTTCTAAGCTGTTGCTTTTCCGATGATGCAGTGCTTTAACAGAGCTCTATCTGACTCGGCACCACAGGAATTGGAGTTACACTGGGTATTTTTAACCCCCAGGTAGCCCCAGTCTAACAGCAATTCATGACTTGAACTGAACTGCAGGGAGCAGCCTGGCACAGCTTGGAGAAGGACACATGATCCTGAACAGGGTCCTCTGCATCACCTGTCGAGCAAGGTGCTCATTCAGGCCCTGCCATCCTCACCTTGGAGCAGCCTCCCGAGCCTTGGTTCTCACATGAGGAGCTGAGGGACTAGAAAAGAGCTTGGGACAAAGAGCCACCACCTGTGACTAGTTCTGGGCAAGGTGAAAGTACTGCTGGGCAAGGCAGGGCTGCTAAGTGACTTGTGTGGCTAATGTCAGGAGGAAAGAGCTCATGGATACGAACCACTGCTTCCACGGCAGGTGAGTTGTCCCCAACAACGAGCAAGGCAGGGCACCTGGTCAGAAACCAAAGCAGAGGTGTTACTCACAGTGCACCGAAGGGATTTCTGTGAAGGTTGAGCTCTGTGAACCAACAGCCTCATGAAAGGTTAACACTGCTCAGCAAAACCCCCTGCCTGCCACCACATCTCAGCATTTTGTTGCACCAAAACATTCTCCGGGGCTGGCACATACACTCACACTGTCCCCTCCATGCACACCAGCTGCCACTGCTCTTGCACACATGTACCTCTGCCCCTGCCTTCTGGAGAATCTCCTCATGTTCTTCATGAGAGGGCTTCCAGACACCTCTCTGCCCCATTGCAGCTGACAGCCCTGCACCACAGCCCAGGACTGTCCTGGGCAGTCTTTCCAGTGCTTGGCCTTGTGGGGTTCTTGCCAAGAAGCAACAGCAGCTTTTCTGCTGAAGGGTCTGCATGCCAGTAACTGAGACAGGCTGATCCACAGCAACTTACTTGAGTGTTTTTGCAGTGTTTTCATTGACACCAACAACTGGTCTCTCAATTTCCAGGTCTCTACGACTGAAAGACAAAACAGAACAGTTCTCCATCAGACCTGCAGGGAAAACTGTTTATCATGGGAGCAGACAAAATCCAGCCATCAGTGCTGGCTCCAACACCCAGGCAACAGGTTATCACTCCCTGTGTCATGCCATGAGGAGCCCCAGCAGTCATCCCCAGAACACAGGGTCCATGCTCTCACAGTATTGCTGTGTGCCCAGAGATGATCTGCTAAGGTGTGACAGGCTCTGTGGGCAGACACGAGGGTTGGGCTTGGCTCAGACTTAGGATAAAGGTTTACTTGACGTAATATCCAACAGGATAATACATATGGCAGGAAATGTGCTGAGCAGGGAAGCTCTGGGAGCACTGTCAGGCAAAAACGTATCCTGTACCTGTTGTATGAGGTGAGGAACAGCTGAAGGTTATCTTGGTTGATGTCCTGCGCAATGTGAAGCCTGTATGTTTGGATCAAATCTAGATTTGCCTGCAGCTCCTCCTGTACAAACACAGAAGCATTGGAAAATAGGAAACAGTATTTTTCACAAGTAAAGAAATGATAATCACAGAAATACTGAAGTATTAAAGTGCCTCCATACACATTCCCTGTGAGCAGTGACCCAGAGGGCAGCAACTCCAGACTGCAGCAGTACCCAGGAGACATGAGGTGTTTCTGAGATGTGCCTGGCACCTGCCACATTTTGGCAATGTGACTACACTTGTACAACTGGCAGTGCCCAAGCTGCTGCAGGAGCACAGGAATCCTGAGATGGGATAAGTTAACTTCCAAGCCTTGGTATGCATACACAGATAGAGATCACTCTGGGTTAGGAAGATCTTGTCATAGAATCATAGAATTTTAGGGGTTGGAATGGACCTTACAGATCACCTAGTGCCAACCCCATGCCCTGGGCAGGGACACCTCCTACCAGAACAGGTTGCTCAAGGCTTTAGCCAACCTGGCTGTGAACACTGCCAAGGCTGGGGCAGCCACAGCCTCCCTGGGCAACCTGTGCCAGTGTCTCACCACCCTCACAGGGAAAACTTCTTCCTAATATCTAGCCTAAATTTCCCCTCCTTCAATTTGAATCCATTAGTATTTGTCCTATCACTGCTTATGTTTAATGTTTAAGAAATAAAGCTTTACAGGTAGCCTGCAAGACTGGGACCAAAGGGAAGTTCATTCCCAACACCCAGTTCTATGAAGGAACTGCATTCCAATGAGAGACAGAGAGAGCAGGGAATGCAAGGAAGCACAACAAACAATGAAGGGGCCAGACAGCAGTGAGAGAGAACAGCATGTGCCCTGAGCAGCAGGAAGGTATGCTGATTCCTTCCAGTGTTGCTGTGCTGTTGCAGAAGGGCTCTGGGTCAGGGACTGATCTGCTGTGTGTCACATGCAGTGTGCATGAGGCACAGGCCTTGCCATTGCCCAGTGAGCTCCTTGGTTGGGAGACAGCTAATCCCAAATGAAGGCATTGCTGTATGCAAAGTTTTCAGGACAGGCTGGTTTGCCTGTGCTGAAACTGAAGGGGAAGACTAAGAGCAGAATGCAGCAGTTCAGCATCTGGAGACACACAGGGTCCCACTGTCAGCTCCCAGCTGATCTGTGCTCTGCCCACAGTCCAAAGGTTTCCATGCTGGCTACAGAGAACTGGCTGCCATTTGCTTATGCAGACAGTGGCCTGGACACAACAAAGAAGTTCTACCACTAGTGTGTAGGACACTACTTTTTTAACAAGCCTGGAGACAAACAGGGCAAGAGTGAGGATGTGCATGCTCCCCGCAGCATGCAAAGCCCCAGTGTGAGTTTGACACACAGAGAAGATGATACTATACCTGTGGCAACCCTTATCTGATGGATCAGAGCTATTTGGGAAGTTATAGCTCCACATACAGTTGCACAGACAGCATTAACACCTGCTGGGTACTTACATGGCCAAAATGATGTGCCAAGACAATATCCACTATGTTGGTTGTCCAGCCTGAAAACTGAACAGTGACACTGAATGAGGAGGAGGAAGAGTAACTGTAAAAAGCAGTTTCATTACACATCTCAAAGTGGCTCCTCAGAGTAAAGCAAATAACAAAGAAACTATTCAAGTGATAAAAGAAGCAAATGCCTGAACCTTGGAATGGATGTGCAAAGCTCCAGAGAAACATGTGTACACACAACACAGCTCTCCAGAACCTTGGAACCTTAAATAACTGCAAGGAGCCAGAATAAGAGAATAATTAGGAGATCCATTCAATCTCAATCAAATGAAACCTGCAACCAGAAGTGCTACATCAGAGGAAAGCTTTACAGCCACTCATCCCCAAGCATTCTACCTGCATTTCATGTTCACATATGATCACACCCATCCCTGCTCCTGCTGCACCCAGACTGAGCATGGAGCAGGGACAGCAATGACATTGTACAGATTTCACCAGAAATGGACAAATTCCTGTATCCTGTCCTTTTTCTTACTCTACACACTGTTCATTAAGTGCTGTGGAGAGCAGGTGTGTGGGAAAGCAGAGCAGATGTGTGGAGAAACAGAAGCTCACCTTGGATGCTGCCCAGTCAATCCATCCCTTTGCACAGGAATCAACATTAATGAGAACGAGTCCCTCCACCAGGTCAGGGTGGCTGAGCTGTGGGGACAGAGCACAGGCACAGTCAGGAGGATGATTCAGCCCACGTGGCAGTCAATGGCTGGTGCAGCAGCTGGAAAGCCTGATGCACAAGGTGCAAGACAGAATAAAATGCAGACAAAGTGGGGAGCTCCTCTGTGCAGGGCAGCCAGTGGCTCCCAACCAGGCTGGACTCAATTCAGTTGTGGCACTAAGGGACTGACTGCTCCACAGCACCTGCAGCCTCAGAGCACCTTCTGGTAACCCATGACCTAGTGCAGCTGCAGGTCCTGCTCAGGCCCTGTGTGTTACAGGCCTGGGAGCAGTGACCCTCTCTGCACCCCCGTGAAGGACCTGCATGTGCCCTGAGAGCTCAAGGAAGAGGCAGTGTCCCAGTGGAGATGGGACAAACAGCAAAGGAATTGGTGCTGAGGCCCTCTAGCCCCTACAGCCTGGGCAGAGACCTGGAAAGCTTGAGCTGCAGGGGCACTTGCTCCCCAGACAGCACCCACCCCTGCCACCAGCCTGCAGACACCCCTTCCCCTGCTCCATCCTGGCACCCCTGGAACCCTGCAGTGTCCCTTGGGCTGTGTGTGTGGAGAGCATGGCTACAAAGCACTTATGAGAACTGCCTGCCAACACAAATCTAGCAATCTAACACAGCTAGCCAGCTCTGAGCTCTGGGCTCACTCCAAGGCTGAAATTCCACGGCAGCTCTCCTGCTCCACTGTACAGACTGGTGAAGCAGAAGAAAACACCTCTGTCCTCGGCAAGAAACTGCCTGCAGCCTCGGGAGCATGGCAAGGGCTTCCTGGCACTTCACTGTGCTGAGCACAAAGGCTGATTTGCATGAGCTCCTCTTTAGCAAGGCAGAAAACTACACAAGATACAGAAGGCAAGGAACAGCCAAACACCAGCGCCCTGGGCTAAACCCTGACTGGAGGGAATGGGAAGCAGAGCACTTTGTGCAGGAGGGGCAGCTGCCCAGCACAGTGGCTTCAAGAAGCAGTAATGGCCTAAATCATGGGCAACTCTCTGCACTCAACAACCTGATGCAAATTTTACTGAAAATGTCAGATTTCTGGGTTTTTTTTTAAAACTGTATCAGGCAAATTCCTGGGCTGCTAAATCGTGCCCACTGATTTCACATAAACACTGCACTAGAGAGAAATGCATAAACAGGTACCAAGATAAAGGCAGCACTCTCTTGTCCAATGGTAGAATACAAACTCAGCTTCCTTCCAGTGACAAAGCACATTCCTCATCAGCACTGGTTTGCAGCACATCACCACATCAATTCTTTGGTGTCACAAACACTGGACACAGCAGACAGCAGTGCAGCCAGTCTTTGTGAAGACTACTCCTAGCAGCCAGGATGGGCTCTGCTGACTCAAAGGCATCACATTACAATCCTTCCACGCCTGGCATAGCTTCAGAGTAACCTTGGCTGCTCCAGCTTAACCATCTGGTTGGAGGTAGCTCTCCCATGGCTCCCTGCAGCCCTGCTGTAATTACTGACTGCTAATTTGCTCATGCCCCACACACTGCCTGTTTGATCAGTGAAGACCACAGCTCACATGAGTCACAAGCAATGAAGAGATACTTACTGCACACCTGCTGAGGACATAAGCGCCAGCTCCCAGGCCAATCCCAATGAAGCTTTTAAGGCTGAAATACAGGCATTTCACAGTCAGCAAGACTAACCTAGCTCAGCCAGTGTCCCTAGAGGCAAAACCTTTCCTCTCCCCTCCAGCTGTGCACTTATGGTTCGTTTACAAAATGATCCAGCAATGATGCAGCAGCTATAAATTGTCTCATGTAGCAGACAGTGTTCCCTGCATAGAACCAGACAGGGTCACACAGGTTGGGAGATGCTCAGACCTCTTGGGACACCTCAGTGAGCACATCAGACATGACAAGCAGAGACAGAGGTAGGGGCTGGAATGGCTGTATCCAGCTGGCTCACCCCACTTCCTTTCAGAGACTTACCTCAGGTGTGTCAGAACAGCAGGTAACATTTCAGCCAGTTCATCCATACTGGGATACTGGTACCTGAAAACCAAGAGAGCACCTCCAAATATAGCTTGACACAGGTTATTTTCCAGTACTACTCAAGGTAGGAGGGACAAGGAACATTTGACAGGCATGCACACAGGTGACTAATTTTCAATGCTACTGTATGCCCCAGTCAACTGTGGCCTCAGAGCAAGACTAACACAGTAGTCCTCTGGGCAGTCAGACTTCTGTGGCAGCATGCAGGGGTGAAATGCCAGGTTGACTGCAGTGTGCTGGGCTCATGCTCAAGGCAGAAAGCTGGTATGAGACTCATCACTAGTAAGGGTTTTACTCATGTCTTAGTAATTGGAGAGTTCTCCCCTTGGGAAGCCTCCCCATCTTGCCATTTTCTCTGCTCCTGAGAGCTGCCTCCCACTACACTCAGCCTGGCAGTCCCAGCTGGCTTAAACTGGGTGCTCCCTCAGTCCAGACTGAACAACATGGGTGTCTGCAGAGCTCTTACCCAGATGGGAATGGGGGTGCTCCTTCCTGCTGGCCTGGTGCATCCACGTGGCACACAGCAAAATGCTGGGTGATCTCTTGCATGTCTTCGAAGTTAAAGAACGCATTAAAACAGGATTTGTCTGCAACAACAACAAAAAGAAATGAGACATTTCCTTCAGCTTTATTGCATTCCACCCTCCAAACACCACAGCACACACCAACAGGAACACAAGCCCCTGCTGAGCCCGGGGCAGTGGGTGCTGGATGTTGTAAGCTGCTGTGCCCCAAAACTGCAAAGCAGCAGTGAGTCCCAGCAAAGGAACTGCCACAACTGGAGGGCAGGCAGACAAACAGTCCAGCCTGCATGCCCTGGAAAGCAGGGCCTGGGTACTCACAGTACACACCAAGGAGCTGTGTGAACACAGCACATGTTGGGTGGGAAGACATGTGGAAAGAGCCTGCTAGAACATTACACTACTTCTGCAGCCTTGTAGAAGGGATTTGCTCACCTGCCTAGCACCCAGGAAACAGATGCCCTATCACACAGTGCAACAAGTCAGCTAGAGCACTAGTGTGGTGGGTGGACCTATTTCCACCTCGGCCCTCCCTTTCAAGGGCTCTTGGAATGGACAGGGGCATGCTACATACTCTCTCTCCTGCAGACCTTTATCTTTTCATCCTGGAATGACTTCAGCTCAGCTCCAGGTCAGGCCTGCTGCTCCCCACACTCAAAAGCCAATACCATAAACAACTGCTGTTTCAGGGTCCTGGGAATGCAAGAGCTTACGGTTGAGGCCAATGTCATGGTATGTGAGGATGACAGGTCTGTTCCCCTTGGGTGTGCCCCTCATGGTGACATGGACCACTCCGAAAGCTGTCTCAATGTCATGTTCCTGCAGAGAAAGAAGAAGGAGCCTCAGTGTTACATGTGCTGCCTGCAAGACAGGGAACCCTAACTGAGGGCCAGTGGCAAGGGCCTCGGCCCCACTTTAACACTGCTCTGCCAGACTGACTTAGCTCTTGCAGTGAAAGACCCTCCTTCCCCCAGCCATGTGTCTTTGCAGGGACTTCAAAGCTTCTCCCCTTCCCCCACATAGGTGGCAATAGGAGGAAGCTGACAGCCAAATCGAGGTAGGCTGAAGCCTTCTCCAGCTTGGCTTTGAAGGATGACAAGACTCCTCTGGCTATCCATGTCCCAGATGGGGCTGGGTTTTACCTGCAGGCAGCAGTTGAACTGTGCAGGTGCAGAGGCTGAAGTGTCTACCTACAAAGCAGCAGTGACCTGTCTGCAGGTGAGGTTACCCAACCTGATGCTTACCTGTCTCCCTTTTCCTCAGGAGGGAGGCATGGGGGTAGGAAAGGACTAGTCCATGTCTGCAAAGCACAGGACTGCATGCCCCCCAGCAAGGCTGCACAAGGCAGCCCAGAACACAGCCACCACTCCCTCAGCCTCCACAAAGCCTCCAGGCTCTGCCCCTCAGGGCTGCTCTGCCCCTCAGGGCTGCTCTGCTGAGCTGGGCAAAGTCCTGGCCTGTATTCCTGCGGGACATGCTGTGCAGCCGCGACACTGGCCCCAGCTTGGTGCTCTCCAAACTGTTAGCGAGTCCTTTAACAGAAGTGGAAGAGCCCAGCAAGTGCCAAAGCAGCCAGAGCTTGCAACCCTTTTCTGCACTCCCCTAAGCCCCTGAGCTAGCCAAGGGCTGGACTGCCATTAAAAGCAGGTCTGACTGCCACTAAGAGCAGGCCTGCTTTGCATTAAAAGCAGCCAGCTCTGGCACTCCTTGGGCTCTTCCATAAGCAGTTTTAACTCACTGAGCTGGCAGGAAACTATCCAGTTGCCTTATCTTCTTTTTTTTAAATCATACTCTGTTAGACTTCTTGCCAGGTTAGTGAGTTAAGAAGCACACAGAGAGGTCTGGCAAATGCTAGTTGTGGCTCAGAGCCCGGGGGAGTGCCCAGGGTGGCAGAAGAAATAACCCTGACCGGAGCATGAGGCTGGTTAAACTGACTCACGGCTCAGGAAGCTGCACCTGTGGGGGACAAGGAAGGGTCTATAGGCAGCAGCAAAAGGTTGACTCTCAAACAAGCATAAAACCTATACTGAGGCAACAATGAGAAAAGCACAGAAACCAATAAAAGAGCTGATGATATGAAGAGAAGTCTGCAATACAGCCTTTTCTGGAATTACACTCAAACCTACTGCTAAGATCACGATTTCACTAGGTAACCTACAGGACAAGGTACTAGAAACAGAAACACTCATTTCCCTTCAGAGCCTCTGTTCAAGCACTTCAATGTGTTTCACACTGCAGCACTGGACTTCTGTTTTCTGAAGCTGAGCTTGGGCCTCAGCTCTCTAATGAGGAAGGAAAAGAGTTTCCTTGAGCTAATGATCAACCCTTGCTCTCACGCTCACTTTGACCTTGAAGACTGTGTAAACTGATCTGGGGAAATGAGACAGCTTGTTAAGAAAAGGATTTTCATATCCCCACTGGGCACTAGCCCAATCTGGACTCCCCTCACTACTCCTTCAGTCACATTAGTGATCCAAACACAGGGAATGGCCACTGAAGGTCGAAGCAACATGAGAAATCCCAACTTTAACAAATCTGCAAGCAGCACTTGAAAACATTTAACATGTTAAATATGCAAACTTCTTTCTCTGCCCTCTACAGTGACAACGCCTCAGACTGGGAGTGCTTAAATTTATTTCTTATTTCTCCTGCTAGTTCCCAGGCAAGGTGCAAATCCTCCCCCTGGGAAGCCGCTTCCCTCTTCTGGTTAAAGCCTTTTACTTTTTAAAGGCTTTTTTTTAAGCTCTACAAAGGAAGCAGCAGCCACTACCATCAATATAAGGGTTTCTAACTTCACTTTTTAGCTACATACCAGCTATCATGCTGATCTCTTTGTCAAGACCAGCTGGAGAGATAAGACTGAGTTTTACCCCAACTTCCCTATAGATAATTATATGCCAGTTTTTCCAGTGAACTTTATTTCCCCTGAAACTTTGTCCTGTAGCTTTAGGGCTTTTATCTTGAGCTCTGACTGCAAAGGACAAAATCATTTTCAGATGTCACACAACTAGAGCACATATGACTTGTCTGTCACCTGCTTGTCTCCAAAACAGCGCTCTCCCATGTACCAAAGCCACAGGACAGCATGAGACCGAGGCTTAAAACAGAGCTTAAGATAACATTAATAGTTTTTACATTTACAAGATAGCAATGCTACCGTGAACTGCCCTCCAAAATGTATTTTTCTTTACATTATTACTGGCTTATTACTCTCCCAACGATGGAGCAGAATAACCCAGTGACAGTGAGTACCAGAGTACTGAGTGACAGAACAGCACCTTCGAGGCTGCACCCTCTTGTCCTTGCCAAACATGCTTTCTCACATCTTTCTTGCAGACACCTTTCCAGCCACGAGATATCCTGCCTGTGCCACACTGTGCCACTGCCTCCCTACAGTTCTGCACGTTCTCTCCTGTTATGTGTCCACTGCTCATGCAGAAACGTTGTTGGAAAGTATCAGACACCTCCAGCCTCTGGCATGCTTGGTTTCTTTCTGGCCTCTGCTCAGGCCAGCTCAGACACACTGCAGCAGTGTAGCTTGAGCAGAGATTCAAGGGTTGTCACCTTGCAGCTGTCTAACTCCACCTATGGTCTGAATGCTGATCTGGTCTACTGCAGGGAAGTAGTGATAGGAGAAGGCAGGTGGAAAACACGGAGACAGCAAGATTTTAACAAACCTGCAGTTTCCAAAGTAAGGGAGATGAATGCAAGAGAAGATGACAACCCACAGTTGTGTTTTGAAGAGCTTGATAAAATCCAATTTTCACTTAAACAATGGAAACTGAGGTTTGCCTGAAGAGATGTTATCTTCTGCCTTTATTTGTACAGGGGGTGAGAGCTAGGCAGCAGCTGCAGCCAAGCTGCTGCCAAGGGGAGGTGGGAGCAGAGCAGGCTGGCCGTGGAGCTGGTGGCCCAACGGCGCACGTGGGCGCGAGGCAGCTGCTGTCACCCACTCCCTCAGCTGGGAACCACAGCTCCAAACACTGGCACTGCCTGCGGGATGTGTGAGAAGAGAGATGTGAGAGGAGCACCAGGAGGCACAGAGACCAGCTGTAGCTAACTTCAGACTGACTTGAGGAGCATGTGCTTGTGGAAAAGCAGGCAGCCACACTTCTTCAAACACTTGCACTTTGTAACAGTTTCCCTTAACTTTCCCAGCCTCCAACAGTCTGTAGATCAAACGAGACTTCCTGAACTGGAGGTACGCTCTTCGCTTTGACTTTCTGACAACCAGGCAGCCACCCCCTGCCATCCCTGCCTTTGTCACCTGCCTTCCCCTGTGACCAGAAAAGCTGAAGCTTAATCATGTGTGGGATAAAGAACCACTTAATTCTCCACCTTGTATCTGCTGATTTTGCATGAGATGCTCCAGCCCCTGCTTTGGAAGCTGGAGAGCAACTGATCCCATTTCTATACGCCCCAGAAGTGATGCCCTAACTGTGACTCCCTCGTGTACCCCTTTCTGCGCTGATGTGCTTAGGACTGCCCAGCCAGCCCTGGTGCAGCAGCTTTCTCCTGACCATGGGGCACTTCTCCAGACCTGCCTGGTGGAGCTGTGTCCTTGCTGAGCCCAGGGGGCTGGCAGGATGTCAAACACACGTGGGTGTGCTGTGAATGCACACAGCAGCACAATGAGGTTGCTTTGTTCTCTTTTCCTGATGCACAAGCATTGATTAGCTTTGCTGAAAGCCACGAGCCCTGTGTGGACCTTGTCACTCATCCCTTGCAATGTTAAGGTCTTATGCCTCTGGGTTATTGTCAGCCCTGAGCTTGTCCTTTCATATTCCATGTAGGATGGTTTGACCCAATGTGCAGTACACTCGGTTTACCCAAAGGCAGATTAATTTTGCCCCTGCACCTTCCATCACTTTTTCCAGATCACTGATGAGTATATCTAAGCAGTGCAGGTCCAGGCACAGATCTCCAAAGTGCTTCTCCTCAAGTTATCTCAAATAACTCTGAAAACAAATGCTAGGGTTTTTCCTTTTTTTAACCAGTATGTTAAAAAAAAAGTCGAAATAAAATATCCATGACTGGACCTCTCCTCTGACTGCATGGCCTTCTAAGTCCCTAAAGACACATGTACTAGAACTCCACTTGGTAAGGTCTTGTTTTTTGGAAATCCAAGTAGGCTGCACTGACTGCATTGCCTTTATTTACATCATTACTGATTCTTTTGAAGAATTCCAACAGCTCTGCAGAGCAAAACTTCCTCCCTTTACAAAACTTACACTAAGCCTTTCCCAATATTTATCAGTGTAGTTTATTCACTGTGCTCTGCTCTATCAGTCTATCTGGTAGAGCAGGTCAGTGAATGACCAGAATTCCTGTGGGACCTCTGACTGAGAACTGCCTGGCACTGGGCACCACAACAGCTTCCAACAGAGGAGCATAACTTCTCACTTAACACCTCAACTCTTTCATCTTTAAACTAATTTAAAACTCCTGTGTTGATACATTCAGCTCTGACAACCTGCTATAACTGCATAAATATTATCTTTTGCACAGCCTCTGCAGTAGGCACTGTGGTTTAAGGCAGGGTCTCTGCTAACTCCTCACAAAGAGCATTCCAGCACAGTATCCTCTGTGAGCTGCTCTGTGTCAAGCTTGCATGCAAAAAAAATTAAATTTAGTTTTTCTGCTATGGCTAGATCTTCCCTGGACCCTCCTTTCAGAGCCTCAGCAGTCAGAAGCACTCCCCAAACTCTCCCCTTCGGTTTCATTTCTGATAGGTCTGAAACAAGACAGTTATTTTCTTCCCTTTTGCAAGTCATCTCTTAAAATTCTCTTCTGCCTGCTTTGTTCTGTTCATATATTTA